TCGGCCTTCCTGGTCCTCTGATGCTGCTTGGCCTGCTGTGTTCATCCAGCTCTACATCTCGTTATCTCTTAAACAAAATAAAGGCATTTCTTACTGTTACAAGATTTTATTTGCATACATTTGAAGGACCAGGAGTGTGACAGCTGCCATTTACCTTTGGCAGAAAGACCTTAGAAGGTCGTCTTTCCTTACTGCGCTAGAGATAAAAAAAGCTGCAGATGCTGGAATCCAAGATAGACCAATGGGAAGTTGGAAGAACACTGCAGGCCAGGCAGCTTCTGGACGAAGGAACACCCAACCTTTCAGATATTGCCCTTCTTCTGAAGAAGGAGATGTACCAGAGGACTGCAGAACTGCAGATTTTGCATCCTTGTTCAAAAAGGTTCAAGCTAACTTGAACAGCACAGTGGCTCAGTGGTCAGCACTGCTGCCTCACAGTGCTAGGGATCCAGGTTCAATTCCACCCTTGGGCGACTGTCTGTGTGGAGTTTGCACATTCTCTCTGTACTCCGGTTTCCTCCCACAATCCAAAGATGAGCAGGATTTAAAAGAGGTGGATTGGCCATGATAAATTGTCCATAGTGTTCAAGGATGTGTAGCTTAGGTGGGTTATATATATCTGGGTGGGATGCTCCAAGGGTCAGTGTGGATTTGCTGGGCCAAAGGGTCTGTTTCCACATTTTAGGGATTCTATGATAACTACAACCCAGTGAATTAACATCTGTGATGGGAAAGATGTCAGAGACGGTAATCTGGGACAAAATTAATAGCCACTTGGAGAAATGTGGAACAATTATAGAAAACCAATATGGATTTGTTAAAGGCATGTTTAACAATTAATTCAAGTATATTTGATGAGACAATAGAGATGGTTTGTGAGGCTAATGTAGTTGATCTGGTGTATATAGACTTCCAAAGGCATTTGGAAAGGACCATAATATCATGAAAAATAAGAGTAGGTTCAGCCAAATAAATAGATTCAGCAGTAAACTTGAAGCCCATGGAATAAAAAGAAAAGAGACAGTATGGAAACTGCATTGGAAGAAAGACACAAAACATAATATTGGGATCAATTATTATTAGGATTGGAGGAAATTACATTGTTGGCATCACCAGGAGCGCAATATTAGGTCAACTAGAAATGTGCAGATAATTAATATTTTGAAGTGTTGTGAATTGTGATAATCATTGTTGAATGGGTGGAATGTGAAATGGTACATCTTGGCAGGAAGAATGAAGAGAGTCATTATAAAATTCTAAAAGTGTGTACAGGGATATATATGCACAGATCATTGAATGTGGCAGTGCAGATTAAAAAGGCACACAGAATCCTTGGTTTTCCAAACAAATGCCTATACGACAAGGAGGTTGTGGTGAACCTTTATAAAACACTGGCTTGGCCTCAACCGGAGTACTGCATTCAGTTTTGGGTTATGCAGTTTAGGGAGTGCAAAAGGATCCTCCCACAAACAAAAGATAGGCAGGTTAGGTGGATTGGCCATGCTAAGTTGCCCCATAGACTCCAGGGATTTGCAGGCTAGGTGGATTAGCCGTGTGAAATGCAGGGTTATAGGGATAGGGTAGGGGGGCCGGTTCTGTTTTGTAGAATTGAATGGCCTACTTCAACATTGTAGGGATTCTATGATCCTAAGAGGACTTCTGTTATGTGCATAGATTGGACAATTGGGATTGTTCTTAGAGAAGAGAAGGTTGAGAGGAGATTCGATAGAAATGTTTAAAGTCATTAAGGATTTAATTGGAGTCAGCTGAGAGAAAATGTTCCTATTTGCAGATGCATCGAGAACAAAGATCAGTAATTGGTAAAAGACCAAAATGTGACAAGAGGGAAATCTTTTTACACAGCAAGTTGTTGGATTTGGAGTGCATTTCCCAAGAGTATGGTGGAGGAGGATTCAACTGGATTTCTCAAAAGGGAATTGGATAATCACCTGAAGAGAAAACATTTGCAGATTCGGAGAAAGCGCAGGGTAGAAGTTTGAACTGAGCTTCTGTGGGCATAATGGGCCAAGTGGTTTTTTTTTGTGATGCTGTGGTTCATCAATCTGCTGTCATCGCTTAGGATACCACTCAGTGTAAATTCACCATTGCCTGTGCTGCTTCAGCCATCCAGTGATCATAGAATCCCTATAGTGCAGAAAGTGGCCATTCAGCTGACTGACCCTCTGAAGGTCATCCCATACAGACCCACCCCCCTACCTTATACCCATATCCCCCATGGCTAATTCACATAGCCTGCTCATCCCTGGACACTTTGGGCAATTTAGCACGGCCAATCCACCTAACCTGCACAACTTTGGACTGTGGGAGGAAACCCACACGGACATGGGCAGAACGTGCAAACTCCACACAGTCACCTGAGAGTGTAATCAAACCCAGGTTCCTGGCGCTATGAGGCAGCAGTATTAACCACTGAGCCACTGTGCCACCCTGATTACTGTGACCCATGCTGAAGTGAATCAATCTAAGGTTGGTCCGTCCAGGCCCAGAGCTTGAAATCCTCATACACAGCCACCTACAGTCTCCCCCAGTGAAGGTCAGTAACATTCCACCAGTTATGCTTGGAGCCACTTGAATAGTACAGCGTAGGGTAAATCCAGGCAGGCACTTCGGGAAATATATATGCGTGGACAGTTCAGTTTTGTATGTAGCATTGGATGCATGGTTGGATATTGTTAAAAATTTGATCTTTAGGTGTTTTATTTCAAAATTTGGCCAAGAGGACACTGTGTTGGCCTACAGTGGAGGAATGCAAAGGGGAGATGTTGTAGAGATGAGAAACTATGATTTAGGTATGACTTTAAGGGGAAGAGGAGAGTGATAAATTGCTCACGAAAAGCCTGTCTGGACAGATGCCTTGTCCTAATTTCTTCTTCTTCCTCAGTATTCCTTAGTCCTGGCAACAAGCCCCGAGTCCTTCATAGGAGCAGGGTGCTCATAACACAAAGAAACCACTATTAATTTGGAGATACTCTAGGGAAGCACAGCCTGCTGGGAGCAAGGGTTTGTTATATGCACACTGTCCACAGTCATGGAGTCATACAGCACGGAAACAAACCCTTTAGTCCAAGCAGTTCATACCAAATATAATCCCAAACTAATCTAGTCCCCCCGAGACAACTTGGCCCATATCCTTCCAAACATTTCTTATTCATATACTTATCC